CATACTTTAGTCGAAACTTGCATTGCCGAACTTGTTTGGAAGTAGTTAGAGGGCTGGCCATTGCCTTAAGTACAGCTTAGCTGTCACTGCAGACACGTAAACTCCTTCCCCTCAACCTATTGTCCACAACGTAGTCCATGGCCTTCTTCCCCTGTGACTAGACAGGCCACATCGTCCGTATAGACTTGAGCTTAAATATCAGTTATTAAGACTGACAAGATATTTATTTTCTGTTTGTGATTAAGCAATGTGCTTAAAATTTTTATATACATATGTACAATTGATTGTTCTGTCCACTGTAACGTCAGAATGGCAACTGACTGACGACGCTCACTTAGGTGGCGCATGCACAAGTGACATTAAGTGCGTAAGTGCAGTATTTATAAGCCATCATCGTCAGGGACAGGACCGAAAGTATGAATATACATGCATAACTACATATACAGCAGCTATGTTTAAGTTAACACTTAAGCTTTGGTCACAGCATGCAACCCTATAGCAAAAAGTGATCAACGCTTAGTAGAAGTGGTAATTCAAGGAGGTGAACTGAGAAGATTTTAACTTTTATCAGTGTTAGAAAACCCCTTTCATGCTATGTAACGATTTTTTGAACATCCAAGATTCGCCTCCTTCCTCTAAACTAGCATTTCTCACAGTCGTTTTACTGGCGAATGAAATATTTCCGATAAAAGTGGTCTAGTCTTAAAAAAAAAATCAGATTAACTGCATGAATGTTCAATTCAGCAAGCGCGCTCAGATCGAAACCCTGCCATCCATCCAAGTCAGGGTAGGTAGCCCAGTTAACAAGCATTCATAACGATCCAAATGCCAGCGACTATAGCAACCGCAAATTTACGAATATCTTTTCTCAACTCACCAACCCTTACCGCGGTCTTACTGCTGTCTATATTTGTACCACCGGATAACTGGCAATTCAGCAATTCAGTAACGTGGGAAAGCCGCTTCTAATGACAAAAGCAACGCTGAGCCAAGAGGCATTAACCAGCAGGCGCTCCCTCGCCGCATGAGGCATGTGCCGTCCAACGACTGAAAGTGAAAAGTGGAAATCGACAAAACACCGGGCGCGCGTTCTCTCTCGCATTACTTAGTGAAAAAGTGATGCCAAGCGATTAAATTAATTGGTAATGTCAGGCGTAAAATGTTAGCAATAAGCACCGCATTACGCTTTTGCCACATAATGTAAACGTAATTAGTTAGCGGGTAGCAAAGAAGAGAAGTATTGCAGTGCTGAGGGTGACTTGGCGGCAGGGTTATTGAAAATGTCGTTGATGGTGGCAATGTGAACGGGTGGTAATGCTGCTGACATTATTGTAAAATTTAGACGCGACCACACACCAACAAAATTAGAAATACATAATTTTTTACCTATGCAGCCGTCACCCGGCAATTTATGTATGTACATATCTATGTACATATTTACATTGGAAAGCGAAAATTTTATTATTAAAAAATCCTAATGTTGACCAGCGTTGTTCACACAATATGTCATCAAAAGCCTTGTGCAATAATTTGGCCCTGACGTCAGCATACTTTATGCGTTGTATTCAATTAAAAGTTGTACAATGCTACAAGTACATATAAAATAGTTAGATTGCATTTTTGTTAGAGTTTTTTTTAAGTTATGTAAGTATGTACATATGTACACGCTTTTTATTTTCGAATTTGCAAGGTCAAGGCAAATGGAAAAGCAATATTAGCGTAGGCGTCAGGATATAACTTTTGGATGTCATAAATATGACAACTGCATAAGTAAAAAAATTGGCTGGGAACAAAGCAAGGCGTATTATGAATTTTTTATTTAGTTTTTATTTTTTTGATAATAAGTGCAATATGGTTCGATACACGGGTTTTATATGAAGCAGCTGCGCAGTGGATATATGACTTAATTTTCCCTTTACCTATTCGTTTGTTATGCACAATTAATGGTGATTTTGTTTCTTCTAAAAACGGATGCCCTTCCCCGATGCCAGATGGGTTTGATGTTACACTCAACCCCGTAAAAGGGCGTGATTTTGCCTTCTTGCCTTTGTCTAGCTCACGCATTTCATAATATTCTCGTCATCTGATTTTCATGGCAACCATCTCCCCTGACAAAGCTTCAAAGGGCAGAGAACAGGGAGGCCTTTTTTGCCTTACAAGAGTGTGACATTTTAAGAAACGAACATAAAATTGTCTCACCGTTTGCGTTTATTTTAGAATCGAACACGAAAAGGGAAAGGGGCAATGAAGAGGCGACATTAGTTTTTGGTCGAAACGAACTCACCATAAGTTTCTCGATTTCGATTTGTACAAAATTTTACAAAGTATTTTATTGAAAGTATTTACCATATATATTATATGTCTTTTTCTCACTTTCGAGCAATGAGTGGATTCCGCGCCAATGGGGATCTAGAAAGTGGAAGCCAATTTTCGATACCTTCAAATGAAGTGAAGGGTTCTTCCGTAAAGCGGGTGAGTAAGGTCTTCTCGTCCGGTACCAGCGAGATAAGTTTTGACCACTTGTGCGACATACGGCCGATCGTTGTCATAATGGAAGATCAATGACCAATGTCCGGTTGCCAATTCCGGCCGTTTTTACGCAATCGCTCGCTTCAATCGCATCAGATGTCTGTCTGTAGAAAGCCCCATCGATCGTCTAACCACTTTACAGAAGCTCATGATACGGCATTCCCTTCGCCGGGCTCGCCGTGCTTAACATATCCGCTTTCGATTGGCAATATTCTCTGCACAAGCAGCATCCAGGCTTTGCTTTATATGGTGACGCTGCAGTTCAGATTGGCAGCTCCTATTACGATTTTCAGTATCAGATTGAAAAAGTCGCACGAGAGTGAACCTCCTTATCTAAAAACTTCTTTTAGTCTCAAACGCCCTGCTCAATTTGAACGGAGCTGTAGGTTGTGCTCAATGCCACTGTACATAGCCATATTGGTTTGTCGGGATCCCAAAATTAGACATGACAGCGTGCAGGCAGCTGCTCTTCATACTATTGAAAACATGTTGTGTGCCTTAAAATCTGGTCACTTAGCTAGTCTGAAGCATCTATACATCAGTCTGGGCTCGTCGATGTCGTCATTCAAACCCGTTGGGAAATGTTCCGTCCATATCTGAGTTGTACTCTGAACATCTGTTATCTTATTTCCATCTTCATCTCTACAGGAGCAAGCCCGGGTCTTAAAACCATTGGATTGCTGCCTTTTTTTCTGATAGAATTTTCGAACCGCATTCCTGCCTGCCAGCATCTCTAGCCTGCCTTTTCTTCCTCTTGAAAATACGTCTTTCTTCCCAGCTTTACGAAATGCAACTACAGTTAGAAAAAATTGTTCATCACAGTTCGAAACTAGTTTCTTCTACAGCTTTTGTTCACCATGAGATACGACTGGAAGCTGACGTCTGGTTTAGAGCCATCGGGTTGCTATATTAATATGCACTTATATTAAAACGCCTCCCACAATGGGCTTGGGACTGATCGCTTTTGTTCGAGCATGTCCTATGAAGAGACTAATTGTTCACCTTTATACCCGAACGGGTATGAGAAGCGACTAGTCACTTTTAAAAACTAAAAATAAAAACTTGCACCAGCTGAGATTCGAACCGGAGTGCGAATACTCTCTCTCTGTGCCAACGCCGCACATGAAATTTCATTGACTAAGTGCGTACATATCATTAAATCTTTAATAGTACCCGTTAGAGATGAGTTGGGGACTAATTGATCTCCAATTATACCCATAAGGGATGAGTTGAGACTGATTGACCTCCAATAGTACCCGTATGAGACTAGTTGGGACTAATTAATGCCCAATTGTATCCGATTGAGAGTAATCTCGGAATACTCGCTTTAGAGATTAGTCGCACAATTTTTTGCAGGGTTAATAAAAAATTTAATGGCTGTGATGCCATACATATGTATGTGCATTCATATGTCTACAGATACTTGTGTAATAATTTACAATCATAGGAGATTAAGTTAAAGATTTGCTTTAATCGTAACTTCTAAAAATAATCAGATGATGTATTCATGTGTGTATATTTGTTTTTTATTTTTATTTTTTTAACAATAAATGCGTAATTTGTAAGACAAAAGAATTTAACTAATTATTGTATTATTTATTATGTAGATATATGTATATGTACATAACATTAGACCGTACCAGAAAAAAAGTTCGCCGCACACCCCAGAATCTAAAGTGTTTTTGCAAGACAATTTTGAAGAACTTCTTTTTGTGGAGCGTAGAATTGGTTTTTTACATTTTTCGTTATTTACAGTCGGATCTTAAAGTATAATATATTGGTGTTTTTTTTTACTTTTCTTCTTCTAAAGTTCATTAACGTAAAGTAGCCCGTTATAGAGCTGACCCACCAGATCTCAGTCTTTATCACCCTAACGTACCACCCTAATGTCAGAAAAATTAAAGCCCTCCAAAAATCTTCAAAGTATTTATTATATCAGTAGAACTACTTAAACAAAAAAATTATTTTCATCTAAAAAGGCGAAGGTCCAATAAGTTTTTATTTTCTCGAAAAGTGCTGCCACCTTTTAAAATATGGGTATCAATCGAAATGTTTTTAAAACGGTTTTATTTCTCAACTACAGGAGGGTTGCCACTTATTTAAAAACACAAATTAAATTTAAATCAAGGAAATGGAGTAACTGACATGTGTATCAAAATTTGGGTGTCGGACGAAAGAGATTTAAAAAGGTTTAAGTTTGAAGATATACTGAAGAGGTTTTCACCCTGCTACAAAAGTCGAATTTAAATAAATTATACAAAAGTTATATGAAACATTAAAATATGGGTGTCAAGCGAAAGAGGGTTAAGAAATATGAATTGCAAATTTATGTATGGCAATTATTTCAATTGAAATTTATGTATGTGATTTCTAAAGCCAAAAGTTGGCAATTATTTCTTTAAATATAATTTATATTTATATATGTATATTTTTGTATGTTTACATTAATCATTTATCATTTCAACACTCACCGAAAGATTAATGATTGATGCAGCAGATGTAGAAATTGAAATTGCTATTTTATAGTGTTTGAATGTAATAGCGGTAATTTCAGTATTTATTCACTTTATTGGCGGCACTTGCACAGTAGTAAGCCATTCACAATTTACTATTTAATAAAGATTTTCACTTTAATTTGCAAATTGCAATTTGTTTTTTTTTTTTTTAAATTTTATTGCTTTAAATTTTCGCTATTTCTCCATTTATTTGTACGCTGTTTTTTTTTTCTTTAATACTCACTGACATAAATCACTTATTGCTCTTTATTAAACGAAACAATCTGATGTACATTGATGATGTCTTTTAATACTTTTTATTGAACTTTTTATTGTACACTCTCATACATATGTATGTATGTATGTATGTATCTACATATTAATAAACTGATGACAGAATTTAGAAACGTGACGCTCGCGATGTGTATATATGTATATGTATGTAAATATTTTTTTTGCACCAGTTTGACTAATGTTGATGTTTTGCATTGCAACACCTTTTGCTCACTTGAGTTTTTACGTATTTTTTAAGTATTTAATTAAGTGCCTGTAGGCATTAAGCTGATTTACTTATCAATTTATAGATTGCAAGAACTATGTATAGTACATATGTATGTATGTATGCACAGTGACGGTCACTTGAATAGCGCCCATTTTCGATCCTCAGTATGAACAGTTTCCTTTTTTTTAATATTCATAATTTTTTATAAAAATATAGCATATTCTATAACCAAAACCAATTCGATTTTGAAATATTAAACAAAATTTATACATAATAATTCAACTTTTCATGAAAATTTCAAACTTTTTAAAAACATTTTTAGAATTTTTATTTTGATACAGATTTTTTTTTAGTTTAACATTTTTATGATAATTTGTTACATTATTAAAAATTTTGTTTTTTTTGAAAATCGTATTTAGAAGTTTTTTGTTATAGTAAGTATGTATATGCTGTTTTTATAAAAAATTATTAATACTAAATAAACAAAAGGACTGTCAATACTGAGGAGCAAAGTTCTTAACATAATTTTAAAATCTTTAAAATTTTGACGAAAATTTGTTGAATTATTATATATTTTGTATAAAAATTTTTAAACCGGATTTACATGATTTTTGGTATAGTATATGCTCAATGTTTATAAAAAAAAGTATAACTGTTAAATAAACAAAAAGGAAATGGTTAATAAGGGCGCTATTCGAGTGGCCGGCACTGTATATACTACATACATAGATACATATTTATGTGTCTGTGTAGAAATAGCCAAAGGTTAATAATAAATCCATCAGCAAGTTTTTTACACAAAACAAAACAAAATGCCAAATTTCACTACACATAGCTAAAAAGCGAAAGCTTTTACTGAAAATTATTTTCTAAAAATCAATGAAATCCAATAAAATGCGACAATTGATAGCGTACAGCTGTTGTGTATACAAATTGGCTGACTTTAGTTTAACTAAATTAATTCGCTTAGAAAAATCTATGAAATTAATTATGTTTGCCTTTGTCCGTACTGTGTGATTATTTCATTTACAATTTGTAGCTTGTTGAGCGCGAAATTCTGTAGAAAATTGTTATGTTTATATGTACATACCCACCTACGAACATTTAATTAAGTGGATGGCGGCACACACTTTACTCAAAAAAAGAAAAACCTCACTTTCACAATAATTTAAGTAAACCCAAACGAAATACATAGAACATAAATAAGTGTGTAATTCTATGTAAACCCGAGTTAGTTATTCGCAAAAATATGATCAACCGATCAAGCCTAAAAAAGTTCGTTCCAATAGAAATTGGCAATGTTTTTTTTTCTAATTAGCTATAAAGGGGTTAAGGCCGAGCGAGATTCTTCAATTTGTGGTATGTGGTAACGAGGAGGGCCCATTGAAAAATCAAACTTCTTTCGGATGTTGCTCGAAGCAGAGCTAAAACCTCGATCTAACTGAGTAATAGTGTGGCTTTCAGTGGTCTGAGATGGGCAGAAAGTCCAAGTTTCGAAATGTCTCGAAATAGCCAACAATGTTGTTGGCTAGACTCTAGACAAGGCTTTTGACACGAACCAAGGCGTTTTTCGGAGAAAAATAGCACTAGTAGTATTCAAGGGGTACTTGATGTCGGCGTTGTATGAATCTTATAGTTCATTTCCGCCAAGCCCTAACTTTCAAATAAGCGGGGAAATCAATTAACCGGGGAACAATTAAGCGGGGAATACTGTAACATTATTACCTATTTTTTTTAAGTTTTAAAAACCTATTGCAGTAGTGTAAACCAATTTTATTATTTATTTTATTAGTATTAGAATGTATTATGTATACACCTTAAAGTCGATTTTGAAGTCAAAAATCCATTCTGCGCGGGCCTTTTCCATTCCTAACTGGAGCACTGAAGATGGCACAACGCCGAAACCTGTTTGTCTCCGAACCAAACTTGACAAGGGATGACCGAAACTCATTCCAAACTAAATCACCTAACTCGATGAAGAGTATCAGCTCCCTTTTTTCTGCGACAACACCTAGCTCCGCTCGAGATGCGCATTGGTCAATGACTTTCAATGCGCTGTTCATTGCGTAACTGATAGTGGCTAGTTACTTTTCAAAACTGTATAAGCTCGAACCAAAAACTAATAAATTTTAACAGCCAGCGCATAGAGAAAGTAGCACGTGCGCATGCGTGTCTGAAGAATATTCTTCATTCAGACATACTTTTTTTATATATGGATATTAATTCGCCGCACAAGTAATGCGTATGCAGCTCAATATTCAATTACAAAATGCGATAAGCACACCTACATACACGCAAGGGGGAACATTACAATTAAATTCGTTTCACACTAATGACGAAGCGCATCGAATTAAAATTGCAATAAAATAATAGCTGATGGTGTGCATTGACCGACGCAGCAAGCAGAATGACGAATTGATTTGTACGCGTTTGCTTGAAAAACTACATACGACCATGCGATGACGCTTATAAATTGGATTGACTTGTGCCCTACGCAGCTAGAAGAAACTCAGGGCTATTGTGCACGGTGGGCAGGAAGCGAAGATAGGTTGCATAAAAATGTCGACAAAATCTGAAAGCAGGGTTGTATTTGTTGATATTTTTAGGTTAAGAATCC